GGGATGCAGCAAATGCAGGTAGTGACACATTTACGTCTTATGCAAGGGGTTCGAATACAGGCAAGGTGAATTTTTTGAATTACGGAAAATCGTTTAACGAAGGAAAGGATATTTTCAAAGGATATGGTAGTCAAGGAGCTAAATTTCCTTCCGTTGGGTTTAAGGTTTATGGCGTAAACAATTCATTCAAAGAGTACTCTCCAAAGGGTGTCAATTTTGCTGGTTACACAAAAAAAACCGGTCCAACAACCGGTTCACTGAAGACCAGTGGCAAAACTGTGAATAAATGGGTAGAAGAGGGTAAATTTTTTCGAGAATCCATGTTGAAAGAAGGGACCGTGATGAAAATGCCTGACATTCGTGACAAAATGCCCGGAAGGTCATTTTTGCCCCGGACAATTTCGTCTAAATTACCGTTTTCTACCAAAGAGTTGACCGAGGTCAAGTCGATTTTCCACGCACAGGAGAACTCCACCATGGAGCATGTGATCGGGAACACGCTCGCAGAGTGCGAGCGTGCTCCTAGCCCAGGCGAGACAAAGCGATGTGTGGCGTCCATTGAGGACATGATCGACTTTGCGGTCTCGGTTTTAAGCCACAATGTGGTTGTGAGGACTACCGATAACGTAGCCGGGGCAACGGGAGAAGTCATGATCGGAAAGGTCAAGGGAATCAACGGCGGAAGAGTGACGAAATCAGTGTCATGCCATCAAAGCCTGTACCCTTACCTACTGTATTACTGCCACTCAGTTCCAAAAGTGAGGGTCTACCAAGCAGACATTCTTAACGTGGACACAAAGGCTAAGATAAATCATGGTGTTGCCATTTGTCATGTCAACACGTCATCATGGAGTCCAGGTCACGGTGCTTTCGTGGCATTAGGGTCGGGTCCGGGTCTTATTGAAGTTTGCCATTGGATATTTGAGAATGATATGACTTGGGCCATGGCTGACTAGGCAATTGATTGCAATGACGTGGCTATTTACTAATCCAGTATTTATTTTATTGTAATTTTAGTTTATATGTTGCCACAACTCTAAAATATATTTTGTTGTCCCCACTATTTGTCGACAAGGTTTCGTATTGAAGGCATTTAATGATTGGATTTTCTGGTATTATATAATGCGTGAATATTACACTCTTTGCTACTTTAATATGACACTGTTTGATTCGACATAAAAAAAAGAAAGACTAGTATTAAACTTGTGATATTTAACTTGCCACGACATTATTATACCTATAAAAATTTATCAAAACGGATCTAGAACTTATAAAAAGTTTTATGAGTTAGCAATAATTTCAAATGAAAAATATGAGAAGTTCTTTATATGTGCTCACGGAGAATCGAATCTCCATACAAAAGGCCAGTTAAACTTGAATGAGTTCCTTTACTAAAGTTGAACCTGCTCTCAATACCCTAGATCCGCCCCTGATATTAACCCCCCCAAAAATGCATTCGGGAAGGAGAGCGGAGGTCTTAAATCAATGCAATTATTGCAATACCATAGCTTGCAAGTTGGAACAAACTAAAAGGGGAAAAAAAAAAGTAACCCATGAAATGAAACATGAGTAGTATGTATTTTTGAGAAAGTAACAAAGGCTGCTGTGCACACTAGTTTTTGTCTATTTTCATTATTTTGGAGAATAGTATGTTTAATGTTCTTTTTAGGTAAAAGATGATGGCTTTGATGATGGAATATATACGCACGCCTTAGGGGAATTGCTGTTTGTAGCAGTAAAAAGGGAAAGCATGCATACAACTTTGAGTAGACTCAAAGGAATATAATGCATCATAATGTGACGTGTACAAATAAACAGAACCACAGCATGGATTGTTTTTTTTTTCGTCAAACAAGTACGTACACTAATAATATGCATGATGAAACATAACTTCGACACTCATTGTCATTGATACTATAACTAGTAAAAAATCATGGATCATGTATGAATACTAGTGGAAGAATTTTCTTATATATGACACTGTTTTGCCTCTAACTATGAAATATAGTGATAGTTTATGTACATGTACTTATGATTTATGAAATGTAAAAATAGTTTGTTTCAAAATGTAGCAGAATACATTGTATCCACGCACAAGTGTAACATACTGTGTTCCCACGCAAACAAAAGAAATTGTATCCATGACATTCCCTATTAAAATATTATTATTTTCTTATTGAATTTCCCATTTTGTATTTTTCTTGAGTTTTAAGATAAACTTAAAATAAAAATTGTAAAATAACAGTCTAGCTTGATTCAAATCCAGGTCTCACTAGTGGATCATCTAGCTTGTACCAACAACACAATAACACTCTTATGTTTGTCATGGATGTACTGTTAGTATATCATAATTTTTGTCAATTTCTCAAAAGAGATATACATATATATATATACATGATTTTTTTGAAGTTACCGTATGCACGTGCACCCTACCTATAGGGTGGGTCCGCCTTTGCTTCTATCATCGTCATAAACTACTCCACGCCCCTCAAAAAAATCACTTGTATTATGTCACTATATTTTTTGGAGATATATTAATATTTCGGGCATAAAATAAGGTGTATTAGAAGGTAACATTAAAGCTGGCAATGGAGGACATTTTCAGAAGCAGCGACAAGAACAAAAAAAAAAGGGAAGAAATAGATTAGGGGAAGAAGGAACTCATTTAGGAAACCCTACTGAAGGGTCTTGTTTTTACTTACCTGGTCCGGTCACTTTTGGGCCGACCAGGACGCTCTTTTCTATTTGGAAACTAGCCCATGTTTAAGTATCAATAAAATGGACGACATGTCCAAATTTATTTTTTTTTTAAAAATATTAGTATTTACTAGTACACCCAAACTCTCATTATGTATCACACTATTTTTAAAATATTGGCCTTTCGAGTAAATATAGTATCTATATTCATTATGTGGCGTAATATTTCGGGTAAAATACATAAATTTCACTAGTTTAACTCCTAATTATTAAGATTACCAATACTTTCAAATATTACTTCCTCTATTATATTTTGTGCTTAGGATACACGAGTCTGAATCCGCGAGATACATGTATCAACTAAATTTTAAAATCAAGATACATATTTTATTTGTTTGAATTAATTGGTTGTAACTGATTTCGTTAATTAGAGGAGTAATTAAGGATTTTCAAAACTCATGGACAATTAATTCTGCAAATTTAAATTAATCAAAACCCTTAATATAAGGTGAAAATCTAGAAGTGTATCTATGTTTAATTAATTTCTTTTTTATTATTCATTGAAATAGTAAATTCATTAATATTATATTAATAACAAAAACATGTATATCTTGGTCATGTAGTTTGATTAATTTCATTTTATTAATCTTAAAATATGAATCCATTGATTTGACATATCTATTATCAATATATGATGTATCCAACAAACTAAATGCTTAGATACACGAGTATCATACAAATACATTCATATGTATCGTAGAAGCATCTAGTATTAATTCCATGTATCTATTATCAATATATGATATATCCAACAAACTAAATACTTAGATACATGAGTATCATACAAGTACATTCATATGTATCGTAGAAGCATCTAGTATTAATTTCATGTATCTATTATCAATATATGATGTATCCAACAAACTAAATACTTAGATACATGAGTATCATACAACTACATTCATATATATATATATATATATATATGTATCATAGAAGTATCTAATATTAATTTCATTATTTGTTATATGTATCTAATATTGTCCTCGTTATACAAACACTATCGAAGAAAATTCAACCAAAAGTTGATAGATAACACATTTCATCTGTGGCTGATCTTTTTCCGCCGGGAATGGAGCCGCAGAGGGCCGTTTCTGGTTGGTTTTGCCGTCACCCGTACTAAGAAAATTCAACCAAAAGTTGATAGATAACATATTTCATCATTGACCGATCTTTTTCCGCTGGGAATGGAGCCACAACTGGCCGTTCCTGGTTGGTTTTCCGTCATCGCGACACTATCATCACCAAGATGTCCCCCGTCTTCATTGAGGAGGGTGCAAAGAACTCATGATTTGCGCAGAGGCATAAGAATTGAATGGAGGCTATCTTACCGGAAAACCCTTTTTTTCTTTTGTACTTCTTTTTTATGATTATGAAAGACAAATTTTGTATTGTGTAAAATATCTCTGGAATCGTTGGTAGAAAAATATTTTGAATTGCTAATTGACAATTATTTAAGGAGTTTAAATTTTAAGATAATTATTCAATATCATATTTAAGAAATTTGTGTATCTGATTAAATATTTTAAAATATATGGTATAAATATTAAAAGTGATATTATATGTAATTATTTTAAGCTAGAGGTAAATTAAGTATATATGATAGTGAAGTATGTGCAGTTAGGTAGTTTTTCCTAATATTTCTTAACTAGCAAAGTCTAAATCAAAATAAACAGGCCACATCTCAAGCCCAAATTCATTGAATGATGGATTCGTTGTTTTGGGCCTTACTCCATTTGACTACTTGAGTCTCTCAATAATAAACGGAAAAATTGTATGAAATAACAAACTATTAATTCAAATTAAATGTTATAGTCATAGTTTATTTTATGTAAAAATTAGGCAAATGACATAGTATAGGAAAGAAATTACTTCCTTTCCCTACTCTTTCATTAATTACCAAAAATCCCTTATTTAGTGTTTTCCGGATACTTAATAAAGGAGCGTTGATACTTTAATTTCTAACGTGCTGATACTTAAATTAGTAAGTTATTGTTATCAGTTTAAGGCGTTAAAAAAGGGATTAAAAACTGAAATTATAATTGTCTCCCACAAATCACGGTTACGTTTCTTCCTTCAACCAATCATTAGCTCATAATCGTCTAACTGAATATTTTTTTTTAATTTCAAATCACGCTTATTTTTTACTTTTTTTAATCCTCTAACGTTCTCCCTGTTTTTCGAAAAAACAATAAAAGATTTATCTCTCTCAAATTTGGAACGCTATTTTGTGAAGATTCGACATGAATATTTCGATCTTGTTAAGGCATTCTGGATCATGGGAAAGCGATGTTAGATACGAACGATACATAAGTGATGGTATAGTGGTTTGTGAAAATATTTCGTTTGTGAATCTTATTTCAGCCATTAAAGCTGAATTGGGTATAGATGAATTCAAAAAAAACATTGAGGTCAGATACGTTGTTGAAGGAAATTCGTCTCCATTGTGTATTCGGAATGATATGGGGGTGAAATTGTACATAGAAATTAAGAAACATGAGGTGGGATTCGGTATGTATCCTCTATGCATTGATACCTCTGATAAAAGTGATGAAGAGATACAAAATTTCGATGCAACAATAGGTGCAATCGTGTGTGTTGAGGGTGGAAAAAGCGACGCAAAGGCTCTAACCATTGTTGAATCAAAAATTGGTGATTCATATTACATACCAGAAATGGAGGTGAAGAATTATATATCAGATACAAATATTTCTGTTGTTGAAGTGAAACAAATGTACAAGGATAAGGCAACTCTAAAGGCTGTAATGGAAAAATACAAAATAAAGAATAGCTTCAATTTTAAGGTTAAAAGATCTGATAACAAAAGGTATGTGATAAAATTATCTGATAATTTTCTTCATTTTTTTTTATAGTGTTTGTTAAAATGTTTACCATGACACTGATAACATGTGTTACGTGCCGTCGTAGGTGTTACGTATCATGTTCGTTTTGAATTGCTTATGGTTATTTATGTATACATTTAGAATGGTAGCTGAGAAATGATTACTTTGAAAATTGTGAGCAATGGATACAATAAATTATCATATTTAGTGAATTTTGAATTGGGTATCAAATTTGCATCTGAACATGATTGAATGTGTACTGTTTTTATTTATGTATTAGTACATTAAATCTGATCAAGTAACAAATATATATGGTGTAATTGCAGCTACGTATTAGTATGTTATTCAGATGATTGTTGTTGGAAATTGAAGGCCTCTGTTAGGAAAAATTCAGACATATTCAAAGTTAGATACTTTAATAGTGAACATAGATGTCCATTGAGGGATAGGGTATTAAGTAAGGTACAAGCTACTATTGGGTTTGTTAGTGGTGTGACAGCTCCAATATTGGGGAATCATAAAAGGAAACATACTCCCAACGATATAATTACTGATATTAGGGCACTCTATGGAGTTGAAATTTCTTATCAGCAAGCATGGAGGTCTAAAGAGCGAGCATTGGAAATGATCAGGGGAAAGCCTGCTGATGGATATAAACAGCTGCCAAGATACATATATATGCTGGAAACTGTGTATCCAAATTCACATATAAGGATGCACAAGTCAGAAAAAAATGAGTTTATGTATCTATTCATATCATTAAGGCCAATGATGAGAGGGTTTGAATTCTGTAGGCCTGTTGTTGTTGTTGATGCTTCACATCTTAGCGGAGCTTACCGAGGGACATTTGTATCGGCAAGTACGCTCGATGGGGCAGGTATATTATGTTGTTTATGAATTTATTTATTTTTTGAAGTAACTTTAATATTCTGCAATATCTAGAATAATTTTGAACTAGAACATATATGATACTAAATAACTTCATATCATTAAATATATTTTGAACTAGAACGTATATGATACTAAATAACTTTATAACATTAAGGCCAATGATGAGAGGGTTTGAGTTTTGGAAATTAATGTTTTGTGTTTCTATGTTAGGTTGCATATTGCCTTTAGCTTATGGAATTGTTGATACGGAAAATGATTGTTCATGATATGGTTCTTTCAACAGTTTAAAAATGCATTTGGTGAGAGAGATAAAATGTGTGTTGTATCTGACAGAAATGAAAGCATAAAGAAGGGTGTAAGTATTGTTTTTCCAAATGTTCCTCATTTTGCATGCATATGGCACCTCTGGAAAAATGTTTGTTCAAACTTTAGGAGAAGCAGGTCCATACTAAGTGATCTGTTTTATTCAATGGCAAAGGCTTATAGAAAAGAGGATTTTGAAAAATTGATGGCTAAATTGGAAAAAATAGATGGCAGAGTAAAGGAGTATCTTCAAGATGCTGGGTATGAGAGGTGGTCTAGGTCTCATGCAACAGTGAACCGTGGAAGAATGATGACTTCAAATATAGCTGAATGTATCAATGGTTGCCTTGTTGATGCACGACAACTACCTGTTATAGACTTTCTGGAAGAAGCTAGAATTCTATTTGGTTCTTGAAATTGCAAAAATGGAGAAATAGCATCTTATACAAAGGAAACATTAGGGAGGAGATTTGAAGAAATATTGATTATAAACGCTTCAAAATGTGCAACAATGAAGGTACATATTTATCTTACAAGTATTATGTATCTAACTTTACTTCTAATTATATTGTTGTGTATACCAAATGAAAAAACATGTGATATATCTATAATTTGTAAACAATTGCAGGTTGTTGCATCTTCTGAGTTTATTTTTTCAGTGTATGAAAGTGGGATAAGATACATTGTTTGTCTTGAGAGAAAAACATGTTCATGTGGTAGATTTCAACATGACGAGATACCTTGTGCGCACGCAATGGCCGTTTTGAAGAAGAAGAATATTAAAGATGTACACCCCTACTGCTCTGATTACTATAAACATGATGCATTAGCAAATACTTATGCAGTTCCAATGGAACCAATGCCAGACAAAAATGATTGGACAGCTCCGGAATGTGTTTTGAACGAAGTCGTCTTGCCACCAAGATACAAAAAAATGCCTGGTAGACCAAGAAAAAAGAGGAAGAAAAATCCTGACGAAAAGCTAAGCACAAAAACGAATTGTTGTGGACGTTGTGGACAAGAAGGTCACAATATAAGAACATGTACTTTCTTTCCAAAAAATTCTTGAATATTAATTTTAAGGATTTTCCTGCTTCATGTGTACTAAGGTTCTGGATATTTTGAATATGCTAATATGATATTATCATTTGGTATGATTTTAACTTTATCTAAATGTTACAAGAGGCAAACAGTTGTTTGATACTAAAATATATTGTGATAAGCTGTTTTATACCTAGTGCATAGCAGATTGTATCTAACAACTAAGTTATGTGATGTTTTATTTAGTATCATATACGTTCTAGTTCAAAATATATTTTAGATAAATTGTGTATCATATAAGTAATAATTGTTTGGATATTTTGTATCTGATACACAATAGGATATTACCTTTATATCTTTATATAAAAATTTGTTGATTTTTTTTATATTTAAAGTAATGTTACAAGATTCAACATGTTAAATGATACTAAATATATTGAAACTTAATTGTTTTTGTACCAATTGTAACATATTATTTGATAGTAATTGTGTATCATATACATAATAATTGAATGGGTATTGTGTATCTGAAAATAATATGTTATCATAATTTGTGATTTGCATCAAGGCTACCACATGTTTTAATAGATACTAAATAAATTGAAAATAAGTTGTGGACCCAATTATGGAATATATAGTATCATATATTATGTATATGATAGTTATATTGTAGCGGCAGTATTGGTGTATAAGATACATAAATTGGAAAAATAATTAAAATTGGAATACATTTTTTGACCAAAACAGTCTTCAAATTAATAAATACTTAGAAAAACAGTGTTGGAAAGGGAAGGAATATTACAAAATACTAATTAATTGTATCTTCAACACAATACTAAAACATAACTATTCTATATTAATCAGTCCACATTCTGCTGGTATAGTGTAGAAACTCTTCGGCCTTGTAGGATCATCGTTATCGCTAACATATCCCGCCTTGAACTTGTCCATACCATACTTCCATAAGAGTGTAGCATATCTATTGCGAAGATAGTCACTCCGAAAACTTATAGATGGAATGCTGATTTCATCGCTCAAATATTCAGCAAAAGCAGCTACATACATTCCACAATCACTGCAAACAAAAAGTAGATACATTAAAAAAGTGAATTCAATATGTAAGTAAACAAATTATTTTACAATACTAACAGGCTATCACTTTGTTGTTGCATAATGTCTTGAACATATTCCACCTCAAACGAATGTTGTGGACCCAACAGTTCACCAGTTTCCTTGTCTTTGTACGCCTCCATTGATGCCCAATCAGTTCTTCCCATTTTATCAAAGAACCCACTATCATGAAGATAGTTTGGAAGCATTACAGACAACTTCTTTATCTCTTTTGCATAAACTTTTTTCCTTGATACCATAGACGAGTCATACACTCGTATTAACCTTTCCTTTAAAACAACCACAGCCAACACCCAATGAAAATCTTCGCCACAATTAACCGGAATATAAACCTCATCTACTAGATGCCATGGTAAAGCAGCTGGGATCGAAAACCCACTTATGATGTCTTTGATAGACCTTTCATAAGCAGATACCGTAACACCACGATCAATATGTTCCTGTGTACTAAAAGTATCATCTGCAGGAGAGCAATGATACCTCTTGTATACAATGTCGATATATGACTTGAACAAACAGTTGACCGTAGTGTATAAGTACTGATCCATGCTTCTTAATTTTGACTTCTTACGTAGATAGTAAAAAATTACATCTATGTGCTGTAAAATAAAGAAAAATTAATTATATAATCAGCACAATCTGAAACATAAATGATAAATAGAAGAAAAAGAAAAACAAATCAATAATCTGATACTTTATTTTAAATTAAACATGTTACATTTGTATCATATACATAATTTGAATGTTTAACGTACCTGATCAGTCCAGCATTTCATTGGATATGACATAGTATAAAACCAGTTCTTGTCAGCAGGACATGCGACAACAAAATCCATATGGTCAAAACCAAATAGAGCAGATTTGCCTCTATATTTGTCCTCAAATGGTTTTCTATAAGAATGATTAAAGTCGAAATGAATATAATATTAATTTTAAAAATTATTATAAAGATACATTAATAAGAAAAACTTACTTCTTCGCATGTGTTCTGAGGAGTCCCTTTTGTATCCACTCTAAGAACTCTTGCATTAAACCTGACGAGAGTTGATATGTGATACGACAATCTTCAAATGGAGTGTATGGGCGGATGTCATCGTCTATTTTCTCCTTGCCCTTATCACTTGATCCAAAAGAATTCACATAAGGAGACTGCAAAACCTTTGAAGGCATTCTGTTACGAGGAGCTGGAGTTTTTGTATTTGTATTCGGTGCATGCTCATCTCCTGGAAGTTGGGTGGGTATCTGGCTGTCAGATAGAAAATCATCACCTTCGGTTAGATGGAGTACACTCAGAGGTTTGACATTAATTGGCTGGTTTGGAAGTCCATATACAAGTGCATCTACAGCTAATTCGGTTCCAGACGAAATGGAGGCCGATGTGGTAGAATCCTATATGATGTCAAGTAAATAACAAAAATATTACAATTTTCATAAAAAAAAATAATGCCACATCAGGGAACTGTTTGCATTTTCCAGTAACAAATTACAACCATACCGATGTATTTACAACTGCTGAATTTGAAGCATGTTTTCCGAATTCTTGTTGAATTGTATCTGCACCATCATCCTAATAAAGAAAATATCAGATACTATTATGTTTTTTTTTCAAAAATAATTAATGTATAATAATAAAAACACTTTTTACTTACTACTTTCTTATCATGAATAATCACATTTACCGAAGGATCATTATAGAGTGTTGTGGGTTGAAGCACACTTGAATGTTGCATTACTTGTTCCTTAATGGATGTATCATACTTCTGTGTTTGTACATTTATATGTGCAAGTTAAAACAATTAAAGTATAATACAAAATAAAGTTTCTGACAATGTTAGAATATTAATGTGCATGATACAAAAAATATGGATATAGTATCATATACATTAATAAATTAAGTATCAGATACATACACACCTTTTGAACAGTGTCTTCAGAAACCTTTTCTTTTCCAACCTCCACAGCAGGTTCATCGACATCATTAACAGTTGCAAAATCAATATACCATAAAGTTGGAAAGTACATTATCATATACATTATTAATGTGTAAAGTGTAAAGTACAGTAAGTGATACACAAATTAGCAACATATATTTCATAAATTAAAGTATCAACCATTAACCATGATATATTCTTAAACTATTTAAAGGATTAAAAACATAATAATACATGTTTAAATAAATTAAGTATCAGATACATACACACCTTTTTAGCAGTGTCTTCATAAACCTTTTCTTTTCCAACCTACACAGCAGGTTCATCGACATCATCAACAGTTGCAAAATCAATATACCATAAAGTTGGGAAGTACATTATCATATACATTATTAATGTGTAAAGTGTAAAGTACAGTCAGTGATACACAAATTAGCAACATATATTTCATAAATTAAAGTATCAACCATTAACCATGATATATTCTTAAATAAATTTAAGGGATTGAAACACATGATAAATTAAATTATCAACTATTAACCATGATATAATTACACACCTTTTGAACATTGTGATCAGAAACCTTTTCTTTTTCAACATCCACAGCAGGTTTAACAACATCATAATCAGTTGCAAAATCCATTTGTATGGGTGAAATGGTTTGTTGATCGAATTTATCAGACTTGGGTTGTGAATCAACACCACCTTTCTCTACAGAATCATCCATCATGTGTGACGATGAAACGCCTCCAATATCCTTCATCATCCAAATAATCAGTATACCATAAAATTGAGAAGGAAAACAAAAAATCAAAATACAACCTTTTCAGTTTTGTTATCTTTCGCGCCAAACGCTTTCAGCAATTCAGACTGATTGCTTTTTATTAACTCCTCAAGTGCTCCAATTTTATTTTCAAGAGCTCCAAATTTGTTGTCAACCTGTACTTAAATTAAGCATATAAAATGGATTTAATAATGAATAAACAATTGTTTAAATCTAATGTTTACTTACATAACCCTTCATGTACATCTTCAGATCCTCCATTCCTGCACTGTCAAAAGTTGTTTTTCCAGAGAATGTATTATGAGGAACACCAGATACATTATCAGCTTGTTTTGTTTCTGAACTCGGAGATTGAAATGACTGTTTTGGTTGCTCATGTGGTTGTGTGAGGTGGGACAAACTATATTTATGTGGATGTACAACCTTTATTCTTTTGCGGGGTGGGGTAGATCCTGAGCTAGGTACTCGAGTTGATCTCCTCAAGAATTGATCCGGAGGTTTTGATGAGAAGTCTTCAAAACCAGGAACCTCCTCCGGTTGCACCTCCTCGTTATTAACAATTGGTGAATCTGGTCGATTTGAAGGTACATGGTTGTTATCCGGTAAATCAAGTGATCTGATTTCCTCAGGAGTTGGTTGTATGTTAGAACAGTCAATCTATACAAACAAATAGTAAAACAACATTAAAATCAAATTAATAGTGTATCGCATACTTAAAAAAGTGAAGTAAAAATGTTGTTATGTAGTTAATACCTCAGTAAATATGGTATCCATGAACATCTCAAATTTGGGCTTTGGAGCAACAACTTGCCAATTGCACATCCTTGGTATACCGTTTCCTTCTTTAACGGCTATCTCGTTATTTAGTACAGACGCACATTCATATATCCAGACATTCAATGCGTATGGGAGTCCATTCAAACGATACATTTTTTTGGTGGGTGTATACTCTTGTCTAAAAGATTTCATTAACTTTGTAAAAGCCACTTGTCCCCACGGGTACTCTTCATAGCTACCATCTTCTACCATGAAGAAATCTTCAATAGGAATTGGTGCATCCCCAAGTTGGGAATACAAAAATGTGTGAATGAAAAACAAGATAGCCATCTGAAGGGCATCATCATTGTTGTCCCAACCACCTTGCATAAAACGATCTACCAGGCGACCTTTATTCACATTATAATTTGGACTAGGAAAATATCTTTGCACAAGCCTACTGGTTTTTGAAGCTGGATAATTAAAATCTTTGACATTTCCTTTACATCTCAAACCAGTAATAATTGCAAAATCTGTGATACTAAATATCAAGACATTCCCTTTGGCATGACGAATGTGAATTTCATTAGCTAAATTGCCCTGCTCAATCTCTAACAGATATAAACACTTGGTAATCTGACCTTGATAGTTGCATTTAGGGATATTAAGGTATGGGGCAAATATGGTATCCTTGAATAACTCAATACCTTGGTCCTTTATTGACAGTACTAAATCTTCAATAAAATTGGAGTTGTAGGTAGGACCAAACTTTAAGCAGTTCATTGGAATATGTTTAATTACATAACTGACATTCTGCAATTACATAAATGATTTTTATGTATCATAAAAAAGTATATGATACTAAAAAACAAGAAGACATAATATGTACACAAAATCAATCATATTGTATAATTCAATGGAGACTTATCATTAACTATGATTCACAGTACAAAAATCAAACAACATGCAAAATTGTTGAATTAAGCAATTTTCTTATATACAATAATATACAGTGACCAAAATCTGACCTACAAACAATCACGATTCACAGATGATACTTAATAAAAAAATAAAAAAATTAATTATCATCACATTTTTAGGAAAAACAGGGGTAAGATATATGATAAAAATTAGGAAAAATGTATGCTTACATTTGGTAATGTTGGTCGAACAATGGGTGGGGCAACCTTTCTACCCCTTTTTTGGAGGATTTTCGAAACTTTTGAAGTAGTTGCATGTACTTTCTTCTTCGATTTTTTCTTGCTAGAACTTGAACTTGTCATGGTTATCGGAATAGCCAACCTTTTAGAACTGAAATCGTTATTGTTCGGATCTTCTGAAGAAAACATTAGAGATTATTTAGATGTTAGATGCATAATGGAAGATAAAACGATTGATACAAAATAAAAGAAAAAAAAATGGCGGAAATTACAATGAAGAAGATGAAAAACCCTAGTTAGAACTCTGAATCCGATTTAACAGTGATAGGATTCTTTTCAAATTCAAATTTTTTTGAAATTGATAACTGAAATTGTAATGGGAGAGATTGGGGGCGAAATTTAGGGAATGGGAAAGATTTGATTTTGCTTCAAACAAATAAAGTATCGGTTTAGTTGAATTTTGGGGAAATAAGGGATTTTTGTATTTTATTAAAATAGTAGGGAAATATTGATAATAGGTAAAGAAGTGTTGTGTATTTTAGTAATTTGTCCTCATTTTATTTGTAATTCACAGCAAACATTCTATTTTTTCTCCATCTGGTTCGATATACAATTAGTCATTTTCGGTATACAATTAGTCATTCGGTATACAAATGTATAAAATGCGTTTGTGTTTGTATAAAAAGAGATAAAAGTGTATATACAAATATAAATACATATATTTTCGTCTTATACACTTATAATTATACAAATACAGCTCTTCTCCTGCCCAGTTCTCTTTTGTCTTTCTCTTTTTCTCGCTTTATACAAATTACAATGTATAATTTGTGTTGTATAAAGCGAGAGAGATATTTGCATATGGATTTCACATATACACTTATACAAAGAACATGTACATATACAAATTACAGCAAACATTTTATATATAAATTATACAATTGTAGAAATGAATTTATACAAAACTAAACAATTTGTATATAAATTGGATGTATCTAGCGAATTATACAAATCAAAAGCTCCATAGCAAACATAAAATTTGCTATGAAGCGCAATTATGTAAACTAACTATAACATACAAATATGATTTTTATGTTTGCTGTATATGAAAGTTGCTTATAATAAACCCAATCCTTTTTTGTTGAAGAAGTATCTTCGAAGTACAAATAGAACTTTATTCTTTTTTGTCTACCTAGCTAGACCCCTTAATTACAAGTACAAATGTCAGTGAGAATGCGTGGATGCCGTCATTGGAAATTTGGAATGAAATAACAATCTTCCTTGTCAAGAATATTGACTTATTATAATATCTATATAGCCTGGTAAATGCATGTATCTGTTGTCAATAATACAACTTATATTTTTTGTGTTGCACATTTTAGTTGTTAGATAGTACTTTATGATCTTTTCAATCGGATGATGAAATAACATATATCAGGAGAGACGAAGTCAAAATTTCAACTTTATGAATTTCAAATTTTAGAATAAAAACGACTTCAAATGTTAACAACTAAGGTCTCATTTTGAATTAATACAAATACATTTCTATTTAAGCAAATAAATTCGACTGAAAGCATACATAGTTGAAATTCTACCTCCGACTAGAGGTGTGCACTATTTGGATTACATCGAAAAACCAAATCAAATCAAACCGAATTCTAATTTGGATTGGTTTTTTGGATTTTTGGTTTGGTTTTGAATTCATAATTTATTTTGTTTGGTTTCGGATTTAGAAAAATGAAAATCGAAAAATCCGAATTATATTATATATATATATGTTTAGAATTAAGTTGGAGTTAACCACTTTTGTCCCTTTTTAGTTATTTTCATTATGATTTAATTTATTTTTTATGTTTGGACATCTATAATTGATATACTTTTATTATGTTTTACATTTTACTTATGATTTATATTAAAAAGTATATTTAAGAAATTCAATATATATATATATATATATATATTATTTTAATTTTTTCAAATTGCAAATATAACTTTGTTATGTTTCTAATTATTGACATAATCGATTAACCGAACCGAAAAAACTCAAACCAAAAAGAGAAAAACCAAACCAAACCAAATTTATTTTGGTTCGGATTGGGTTACACTTCTTCAAAACAAAAAACAGAAAACCCAAACCGAATAGTATAAAAATTAAACCGAAAAACCGAATGCACACCCCTACCTCCGACCCATATATAGCATATGGTTCCCTTTCTAGGAACCCATAGACATGTGGTGGGTCGTTGCATGACATGAGTCAATATCTCTAATTCTCTATTTGTTCTTTATTGTCTTACAAAAAATGGAAGAAAATTGGGTGTATTATTGTGTGTATTCGAAGCATATAGTACAATGTACAATTGAGGCTATTTAAAAAGACGGCAAGGCTAAAGTTGTACAATGTATCATATTGCGTCATTATATTTAGTACAATGTATCATATTGCGTCGTTATATAATGTGACACATTTATAATTTGAATGATAAATTTATAAGAAAAGTAGGATATAGGTAGAATTACTATAAAAATGTAGGATAAAAGATGAAATATGATTATTAATTAATAAATAAAGATAAAATGAGAAGAAAATATTAAGATAACGACGCGATCACATGGGTCTTTTCGTTGTTACCGGATTTAAACGATACAATACAATAAAATTAACTAAGTAACAATCAAAACATTAATTGTGTTTAAACTAGCAATATAATACAGTTCAACGGGTAACTACCATCCAAACAATGTGTTAAAAGATAGAGAATTTACTTGAACTTTCAAGTTTCAATTAGGTGAATTGTTATTTTAAGGGTATATTATAGGTTTGTGTATAGCTAATTATATACACGACATATAAATGACGTATAGTATATTAGTGTGACACTAAATATATACACTATATAATACCTCTCTATCTCAATTTATGTAATATTTTTTTTTGGAGAGTTAAATAGTTTAAATTTGATCGAAAATTTGGAATTTTTAATTTTTGAAATTAAATTTATATTTTTATAAACTACGTAAAATGAACTATAAGTCACAAATAATTAACAATTTAAAATATTTAAAAGACATTATTGCTTGGTCATCATTACACCTCAAATTGCTGCAACTAATACTATCGAAAGTCAAGTACATATGCATCTCATCACGAGTGATGTATTATGTATAGTGACATAATAAAATACATGTAATGAAACTTATGAAAGTGAAGTACATATGCATGTTTCTGCTGTTGTCATTTAAAATTAATTAAATATAAATTTATAAAATAATTTGGATTATGTATTAGTTCAAATAAATATTATGAATTAATATAAACGTGTTAAATATTTAAGTCTAATAAATATAGATTAAATTAATGTCCAAATAAATTAATTTGGGCTATGATAGATGAGCCCAGTTTGCTAAGTTCAATGTCATCTCATCCTAGAAAACCCATTTTTAGTATCACGTTGCAAATGGTGTGGCATGTCAAGTCAAACAAAGAAGTCAATAGGATCATATCATGTCTTAAAATGACAAGACCACTTCGTAAAGGTTATATACCATGTCACTAAATTCTGATTGGCTGAAGGGAAACCTGTTCCTATCACAAATCCTCTATTCACAAACTTCAAATAGGGTTTCCTCATAATTCAGAAAAGAGACCAAAATTCTAACAAGAAGCTAGAGAGATCATGGATCAAAAGTCGCAGATTTCTCTACAAGCTACAAGTTGAGTATTTCAAACATTCAAGTTCAAGAATGATCAAGATCACAGGATTCAAAAACAAGTTCGAAGTCCTTGAATTCAAGTAAAAGTCAAGATAAAGTTCAAGTTCATCAAAGATTCAAGAACAAGATCCAAAGCCCTAGAATCCAAAATCAAGTTCATGATCAAGACATCAAGTTCAAGTCCATATCAAGTTCATCAAATCCACAAATCAAGATCAAGCTCCAAAACCCTTGAATCTAAGATCAAGTTCAAGAACAAATTCAAGATCAAGCTCAAGAGCCCTTGAATTTATATTTGAAAAGATGAATCAGAGGAATAATAGAGATTATAACACTAATATTCAAAATCAATAAATACGATTGTTGCATTGTTTTTCATCAGTCTTGATTATTGTTTTTTTAGACTCGAATTTTACTATCTACAATTTTTTGTACTACCAATGGGACCATCTATACCTCTCATCTCAAATTTTGAAGAATAAAAAAATATCGAGATGACTTTTAAGAACATCAACTCTTAATCGACTGCCTATAAGGCCACTAACTCCAAATTCTCTACAGAAGTCGAAGGAATCCTTGGTGTTACCTTCGAATGTGTCGGAGCTATTACGAGGAGCAACACCACTATGTTGGGACAACGAAAACTTCAAGTGTCGTCCACATCAAATTTTGTTTTTGAGTTTTCTACTCCAAAGGGATCAAGGTCCTCTACAAATGCTTAAGAAGAATGAAGTAGTGTTTTTGAGTCACCCTTTTGAAATTATTACGAGTATTATAGACTTGTGAGTCACCCTTTTGAAAAATGTTTTGTCTTCAAGAATAGAGTTATGTGATTGGTTAACGAAAAGAAGGTTGTCCTTGATGATGAGAAGATTAGTTTTACCCAAATCTCTATCATATTCGGATCGCTCGATTCAATGCAAATATGTATCCAAATAGAAAAATCACATGCTACACAAGAAGATAAGTAGAGTCTTCATAGATGAAAGATCTGGAGTCATCATTCAGCCTATCCATACATTGAAAAAACTCGACATCACGACTGAAGAACTTAATGAAAGTCGTTTGTTGATACAATGATTTAATCAAGGAGGACAGAGGTCCATATGGTCTATTAAATTAGAAATCCAAGTGAAAGATTTGCGATCCAGTGCATGGATGCATGCGATCGATGCAAAGACTTCATACAACATATTGCTTGGTAGGCCTTCGGTACATGATAATAAAATTGTCTCATCTTCTTACTATCAATGTTTGAAAGGCGGGATCGAAAGGAAGACAGTTGCGGATGATAATCCTCTCCCTGAAGTTAAGACACATTTTGTCGATGCAAAATTCTATTTGAAGAGTTATGTTGTTAAGGGTGCAAAAGCTCATGACGTCAAATCAATAAGACTAATAAGATCACAAGT